CATGAATGGCTAAAGTGCAGAAATGTATAATTTATTAGGATTTAAATAAACCACAGGGAAATGCTTTATTTGTAGAAAATTTGCAAAAAATGAAAACTTAAAATGCTAAGAAATTAAGCTCTACGTATAAAATTCTTCCCTCGTTACTATGCCAAAGCAAAACACATTGATAATTCCTTACTAATAGCATGCATGCTTTTTATTCAATCATAGTGAAATATTTTTAAAAACACACATAAACCACTTTTATTTTTAGGAGGAACACACCTTTCTAAACCCATGTACTGCATTACCAGGAGAATGTTACACTCTTTTGTCTCAGCAGTTCCCCAAGTACACTTACCATTTAAAAAAAAAAAAAAAAAAAACCCATCGCCGAGTCGATTCCGACACAGTGATCCTGTATGATAGAGCAGAATTGCCCCATAGGGTTTCCAACGGTCAGCTGGTGGATTTCAACTGCCAACCTTTTGGTTATCAGCCAAACACTTCACCACTGTGCCACCAGGGCTCCACACTTAGCAGAGTGGACATATTTCAAATGACTCCAAAGTTTGTCAAGAATAAAAACTTTTTCTGATGAACCTATTAGAATATGCCTAATTTTTTTGATGGGCTATCAAAGAATGCAAAGTCCAGTCCTTTCCCCACTAAGGGTGCTTACATCTTCTCTTCCTTTTTTTCAGATGACAATTATCCCCATAACCATTACCAGTCAATAAACATTTTCTAGTTGTCAAAATAGCTAAAACTAGAAATCCACAAGGATTTGGAATGACATTACTAAAGTAAGAAATTTGAACATGTAAAAATCAAATAACTGTAAACAGAACAATGACATGAACATCAGTTTTACTGAGAAGATATTCTTTTAAAAAAATCTATGGCATAAATGTAACTATAAATGAACACTGCTATTCTCAGCACTTTCTGCCTAGAAAATTCAGTATACTATATGAAAACATCATTAAAGCACGTAACTTTACTTATGTACAATATGATTTTTTTTAATGCTGAGGTTAAAAAGAAGGCACCAGAAATATTGAAAAACACAAAGCAGAAATACTGCGAGATTATCATAATTCAGTTTGCCACAGGGAAAACATTTAAGATAAAATTGAAAATAAACATAGGTTATGATATAGCCAAATTATTATAAAATGTATCAGATTGGCTGGCTGTACATTGTGCAGGTCACAGAAAATTATTACTTTAAAATGTTTCCCCACAAATTAGCATAAATACTGTTCTCTGTGGTTCCAAAATGCAACCACGGTGTGTTGCTCCCCAAGGGACCCTGATTCCAATCCAAGGCAGATGAGATAGATGGAGCCAGAATGGCAGTGTTTGACAGACACTAATAAAAAAGACCACTGACACTGTACTGACTTGCAATATTCCATTTTATTAGAAGCAGAGAGCAGAGAGGTTGAGAGCATGAGCTCTGGAATCAGACGTGCATTCAAATCCTGGTCCCACCACTCCAGGTAGTGACCCAGGAGAAGCCACTTAATCTCTCTAAAACTGTTTTCAAAGTTGAACAAAGGAGGTAAGAGCACCTTCCTCAAAGGGCTGTTGCAAGCACAAAATGCAAGCAAACTACTCAGACCATCACCTGGTACACAGTCTGCATTCAATATATCCTGGTAGTTATCTTTAAAAAGTGAGTAGCTTAAAACTGCCAAGTTTAACTGAAAATACTTGCTTGGTACCATGGTATTGCAGGAAACAGATCTTATTGCTTAAGGAGCCCCAAAAGGAATGTACATGGACAAGATAGTTAATTCTGAAATGTTCAAGTAACTTTGGTATTTCCATTAATACTGATTTTCTTTGCAGACTTAATTGTCTTCTTCTGTGGATTTCTGAAGGTACCACAACATTCTTATCGACATGTTCCCAATCTTAATCTTTACACTTTAGAAACTGGAAAAGCTCAGGCATTTGAAGATAAAAGGGACATACTTGCCCAAGATTAGTAAAAGCATCAAGGATAGTAGTTACTTTTTATATAGGGGTTTACTTTTATATCTTATTTCTTACAAATTTATAGGAGTACGTGTTTGAAAAGTGTGAAATTCAACAGCAGAACGTTAGTATAGGAACAATTTCTGAGATATCAAAATTGGCTTGTTTTGAATGAATGATGGCTAAGGTGAACTCTAAAACTGAGTACAAAATTAAAATCAAAGCCAAATAATCTTTCATTGATTTACAGACATTAAATAACTGTAGCCATATGGGCTTCACAGGCAGGTCTTTTAAAAAAATTTCTGTGAAGTTGACTTGAATTTCATAAAAGGTAGCACCAATATTCCATCCCTACCCTAGTAAAAACGATAAGTTATCAAACCCCAGGCAAGTTTTAAAAGTCACTCACGAGTCATCTACATTAAAATTATAAACTAAAAAATATCCTTCATGTTCAAGAGCATCAAGTAATCAGTTAAGAAGTTGATTTTTTCACTTTTAGACTAAAGTTTTAGTTTTAGACTAAAAGTCGACTTCAGACTCGAAAGTACTTACCCAAGCAAAATAAATACAGAAGATAGTTATATAATTTTATGCTGACAATAGTATACTTAATGCCACAGCAAAAAAACAAACAAAACAGTAACTGAAAAATGCAGCTCAATATGCTTGTGTTTTCCAAACTGCAATAGTGAAAACCAATTAGTGGCTCCTGACCAGAATTTTTTATTCAATAGAACAAAATAAAAGAGAAAATATCAAGTTATATCGGCACTGTTTTATACAACTTTTGTTTGTTGTGTTTGTATAGTGAGAAATACATTTTTCACTGTGAGTTGCTGTCAAAAGATGTTCAAAGTCACTACCCTAAAACACTAAATTTTGCCCTCTGGAGCCCCCTACAGGCTCTAAATGTTGAGAACATGAATCCTTCCCGCAGTAAATAAATAACCCTTTATTGGAGGGCAGTTCAGGAACCCTCAAGGGTTTATGCAGGAGCACATGTTTACATACAATTCAAACTGAATACGTGAGCAACCTCCATCTTGAAGCTAAAGTATCCTCAAGAAACCAAACTAATCTGGTAAGGTCTGTATTAGCCTTTTACTATCTAATTTAACTTAAAGTTGGAATAAATTTACCAACATCTCACAATAATAGCTGTCTGGGGGCAAATCTAAGAGGTGAAATCACAAGGACTTTAGAAACTATTAATAAGACATTCACCTTTATAAAGTTTTTATGAGCTTAATTTAACCAAAAGAAATATGGTTAAGCAATTAAAAGGCTGTTTCCACCCCAAAGAACTGAGTAAAGAGTAATTTTGAACAATCAAGTCCTAAACCATTATCCCAATTCCAAGAACTACTTGAAGAACTAATGATCACTATATCAAAGTAGTAGAACTTTATGAAGTGGTTAGAAAACTGAAGTTATATAGAAAATACAGCCTTACTTTCCTCCAAAACAAGCTAGTAAGCTATTAAAGCCTTCTTTCCTTGCTCCTCTTCCAAAAAAGGAAAGAAAACAGATACAAAAAGTAACAGCAATGTTTACCACATCTTAGTAATCACCAAAAAACAAAAATTTTGTTTGCAAAAGCCTCAGAGTATACTCAAACTGCAGGTATCTTGTAAACAATCATCAAACACTATTCTGACCTTAATTTCATCTGTATCAAATCACCTATCTCAGAATGCTGGAATGGTTTAGTTAACATAACATCCATCACAGAATCAGTTAACAGGCCACATGGTAGACGATCCTACTGAAAGATCACCTGACAATGAAATCAAGTTAGTATAAATACATACAGGTGATTCGTAACACATGCAGTAGTAGTATATAGTTTTTGTTTGTTTGTTTGTTTTTCAAGTCAGTGCTGGTTGGCCCTGCAAGCACATCTTTGAGACTAAAAATGATACAAAATGGGCAGTTCTGCCCTACAAGACATTGGTCCACTTGGTTAAAAGCAACTCTTTCATTCAAAACGATCACGTGCACTTGTATATCTTGTGTTTAGTGTAACATAATTAGATCCAGACTAGAAAGTATGCTGGAGCTCATGATTCTAAATTCATCCTTGGTTTTAGCATAATTTACATCAAAACCAGTAAAAACAGCACATAAAACCAATACTTTTTGCTAATGAGAGTTCAGTTTTAGTAAAACATTTTTGTTACTGTAACACTGATATAACTATGCTCTTAAACGCTCATAAGAGAATTATGCCTGACCCCCCAAAAGTCCCACAACTGCTTATTGTATAAATTAAGATCTATTCAAATAACATACAGCTCATTTGCCTTTGCCTAATTCATAAAATGCAAATGAAATTTGCTTATCTGAAAAGAATGAAAATGAAATTTACTCCCATTCTTCAGTATTTTCCTATAGAAGCTGAGATTTAAAGAATGGCTCTTCTATGACAATGCATAATCACTTAAAAGGGAATTTTATCAGAAAAGCAATTTTTTAATGAGAAAATAGGAGCCCAAGTAATATACTTCCCTTCCCTTTCCCACCACCACCCAGTCTTTAGTATGTAAGATCATTTCCTTCTATTATTCCTGACAAATATTCATCACATTTAGAACTGAAATATCTTTAGGTGATCTCTTCAAGGTGTTCTTTCCGTTCTCCCTATTCTGCTTAAGGAAAACATTCTTCCCTATTGTTGGCAGGCATAATGAATATTCTCAAGGTAACATTAAAATAATTGCTTTCATAAACTGTTTGTTTTATATCTGGGATACCAAGACCTAACCACGAACAAAGGAATGTGGCTATCAAAGGTTACTTACAAGTAACACTTTAATACCCTTCGCTTTTAGTCGCAAGACTACCGTTACGGGAGCTAGTCTAATGAATATTTAATGGCCAGTGGCTTCAGAACCCAACTTCATATTGAGTGACACTCTCTCATGCACATGAACCCAACATAATACATACATATTCACTACTCACTCACAAACAAGCATACATACATACATTTTCTTTCTTTCCAGAACAAGCCAGAATTACAGCTCTTTTGGTGATTGTTATAATTTTTGGAATGGTTCATAAATTTTCCAAATTGTTTTAAATTTGTAATACTTTTATCTTTTTTCTTTTTTTTCCAATTGTGAACCATTCCATATTGCATCTTTATTGCAAAAGTCAACATGCTTCTTAGAAATTCAGATTGTAATTGATAAAACAAACATTACATATATGAATTTAAATGTATAAACAGTTAGAAATTCAACAATATCTCCTATTATACTATTACACAAGTTCACAATTTTGTAAAAACTATAATACAGGCATTCTATACATCAAGAGGAACCACTATTCCTTTTCACATGATTTTTTGTCTTCATTTTGAAATAATGATCCATCACCATGGACCTTTTTCACCTTAATAGGACCATGTTTTCCAATTCATCATCTTAGCTGGTAACAATGTTTTCCCAATGTTACAACATGAAGAAATTGAAGGAAATTCTGCACATCCCTGGAATTACCTTTTTAAAACCTGGGCAACAATCTACTAGTAAACCAGGCTGATATAGCTGGATTGGTGGTGTTTTGTTATTGTTAATCAGTTACTTATAAAGATGTCACACACATTAAGAAGAACAGCAGAATTTGCCTCAGATGGTTTATGTTATTTCTGTAAATAAAGATACCAAGAAAACAAGTCATGGTAGTTATTAATCTTTGAGAGAAACTCTCTAACATTTGGAGATTTGTGTGTTTGGGTTAAAAATCCTGGGCACGGGGGTGGGGGGGACAACAACCACAAGATATGTGTAACTATATTATGCTAATCTTCACTTAAATTTTCTGTTATAATTAATCCATATTTTAAATTCATTTCTGAGAGTATAACATGTTGTAAAATTCTTAGAAAGGGCACTTCTAAACTATTTTAGTCCTATTTAAGGTGTACTGAAAACGAAGTTTTATACAAAGGGCTTCAAATCTTACTGGAAAAAATGTCTAACTGTTCTTCAATTTAACACCCTTCTCTCATTCTTTCCCCCCTCCTGCCCACCAAATAACTGAAAAACCAAACAAATCCTCAACTCTCTCTGTACTGAGAGTATAATAAGATGTCAATTTTGAGGTTAAAAAATCATATGAAAAGGAATCTCATTCTGATGAACTGTCAGTCTACTGAAAATTTTCTTACAGTTCCATCAATTTACTGTAATTTTCAGTTTCCAAATACAAAAATACAACAATTCTTATTGAAATCTATACGCTGGTAGTTTTAGTACACCAAAAAAACAAAACAAAAAAAAAAAACCCAAACAAATTATTTACAAAATTATACAGTTTAAGAAAAAACTTTGTACAAAAAATATATAAATCCTTTGTTCCCTCTATCACGTTTAAACTGTCAGGACTCAAAATATTCACCACAATGAATCTTTCAAAATATATACTGACTGAGCCACAGACATCAAGAAAATTTCATTAGAGATGATGGAGGAGGAAGGAGCAAGATTGCTTATTCTAGGTACCCCATTCTAATGTTTTCCTTCTTTTATAAGCTTATTTTAGCTTCAGTGTTATCAGAAATAGAATAATAACCTAGAAAGAGGAAGTCCTTATTATTATGAAGGAAAAATTACATGAACTTAAAAATGATCCTGGTTTGACCCATCATTCCAGAAAAATATGTAGAAGATAATCAGAACGTGGGATTTAACTTCTTGTAGCTAAGTATATCTAGAGTCCTGATGGTTTTAAGTTTCTTAGTGAACAGTTTCTATTTTGAGAAACAGTCTTTACCTCAGGAAATAAAATCCTTGATATAGTGATCACCAAGAGCCTTCTGAAGCCAACAGGAAGTTTTAAATTTTCACACCACACTTATATAAAAACACAGATGTGTATAACCTTCAAAAAGTGACATCCTATATACATTAATCATTTTATTTCCCCAGGGGTTAGTACAGTGTAGTGTTGCTCCTCTGCTTTTCCATCTAACATTCAGAACACAAAGACATAAATTTACATATATATTTTACTTAACAGATACTCTACTCTATACAGTGTACAGTAAAAATGCACACAGTGAAGGAAACTGTCTACTGAAGGATATATATATGTTTATGAATAGCAACAAGCTACAAAATCATGAAAATATATGGTCGTCTGATCAAAGTCAAATTATGACTCCCATTTATTTCTAGCATACCCCATCCCCCTATCCCCACCCGCACCCCACTCCTGGCCACCTCACCATCATGGTTTAAATTTAGGAAAAGAATTTCAGATACTTTTTTAACATTTTGTGTTAACTATAACTAAATTGAAGTTTTAAAAGAACAAAAAAAGCCAGTGACTCCCCCCTTCCCTAAAATCCTTCCATTATTCTCAAAACAGCACTTATTTATCAAGGTGCTGATTTAAACCTTTTATTGGGGACTGGCTTTTGGTGGCCCAAATGAGTCACCTATCTCAACACTAGGTAAGTATGTCTATTAATAAAAAGGTAGAAGAAAAGGGGGACAAGAAAGGGGCAACTGGTAAAAGCCTTTTACATTTTCAGAATGTTTAAAAAAAAAAAAGAGGACAACCTGAACCAATGCTCACCAAGCATCAAAGCAAACTAATGATTCAGTAGCAGGAGAAGTCCAGGAGAGTTAATATGATGAGAGAAAGGAAACACCTCGAAGCTGACTACCTTTGCCTTAAAGCATATGAGAACATAAGGAGTCTGTTGTAATTTACACTGTAATAGTACTGCTGCACATAAAAACGGTGAAAAAAATTTATACTGAATACAAATTGGGTTCCTCCACAGTAAAAAAAAAGTTAAAATAAATTGTACTTTTCTTCCAAGATAACTCTTGAAAGCAAAAGGGCATTTTAATTAAAAATATCTCCTACAGTCTGACGACATATCCATAATAGCTGAGAGTTAAGAGATTCCAGGCGATTTTGACATTTAATGAAATTTTATCAGCAGATAACCCAAAATAAAATTTCTGAACACCCTGTCATTTACATCATAATCCAACACCAATAGCAACAAAAACAGGTGGTGTGGAAAATAAGGCTCTAGAGATTATCCATGTCATTCCTGTGGATCTTCACAACTGTGTAAAAGTCACTAGGCCTTTGGTGCTTTAATATCATGTACAGTTATGAGATATGTTTAAATAGCAAACTTGCTGTCCTTAAACTACTGTGTTGAAAAGAAAAATTAAAAAAAATTTTTGGCTCATTGACTTCTTTAAATAATTTTTAAAAAGTTGTTCTTCTAAACAATATTCCTAAAAATTATACAGCTTGCGTCAGATTTCATCTTCGCCATGAACGAGACTCATATTCATCTTCATCTTCGTCATCATCATCATGCAAAAACAAATCTGAGGTTTCGGTTTCCTGAAGAAAGAGAGGGTACAATTTGTTTAGTGGTACAAAAATGTTACATAAAATACTTTTTGGGACAAAGGACAAACAGACTAGTATACAAAGCCAAAACTAGATTTACAAGTGATATACTCAGAGTGTCTTTCAGTGCAAAAAAAGAAAAAAACATTTCAATGTATACAAATTCTTCTCCCCATGCTAACTCTGCTAGCTTTAACAGGACAAGAGTTCCACTCTAATTAATCATCGGAAAAATAAAATATGGATAATAGGAGAAATAAAGATCTGTGCAATGTATGTCTGATAAAATTAATTTATTATATTCCATTAACTTAAAAACGAAGAAAATAAATGACCACTATCAAACTCCTAAACCTTTCCTTTATTATCCAACTCTTTGGGAGGGGTGAATATACTAACTTCCCTATGACACAGACGTTCCAAATCTTATACACAAATTTTATACAAAGTAGAATTATCTACAAATATTACCATAACACCAAAACTTTTATTCTCTTTAAATAAATTTTTTAAAAAGTGGCAAATTTATCTGCTTTTGTTATGCAAAACTACCCATATAGTCACAGGATGCTTAATCAACCATAAATGCTAGACATCTTCTAAAAGCAAGATTATGATGAACCAGGAATAATTTGCAATGCAGGCTAAGTGTCTACTTTTATAAACTAATCAGACAATACAAGAGTAAAAAGTAAAATTAATTCTCATATATTTTAAGAGGCTGATTTCAGTATTCATATTACTTAGGTCCTAGTTTCCCACTTCTGCCCTCTCATTTCCAACTTCTGCACACTGTCACTTTAACTAATTGTACAGGGAAAAAACATAAGAAACTCAAATCTATTATTTATAGTGCTTGAATAGATGAAAAGCTAAAACTAACCAGCTAAAATTTAATTTGTTCATGTAATCTATGTCATTTACCAGGAAAAAAAAGAATTTCTATAACTGAAATAAAGGCAAAATGAATGTAAATTACAAAGAAAAAAAGAACAGTCTCACTAACACCAGAAGAAAATAACTGCCAAAAGAATTTTTTATATTTCTGTACTTACTCTGGAAACCCTGGTGGCACACTGGTTAAGTGCTACGGCTGCTAACCAAAAGGTCGACAGTTCGAATCCACCAGGTGCTCCTTCGAGACTCTATGGGGCAGTTCTACTCTGTCCTATACGGTTGCTATGAGTTGGAATTGACTCGACGGCAACGGGTTTTTCTTTTGGTACTTACTCTAATTCTTTTAATAAGACTTAAACTTATAGGCATATATGAAAGAAAAGGCCAACATTTATGTTTTTAATTTATACTATTTACTTTAATGTCAGAAAAATACATAATTGGGAAATGACCTAATTCAATTCATTTTCAATCATTAAATTTACCTCCTCCTTGACTTCCTCCTCCTCAGTCTCAGTGGATACAGATGGTACCTTGGGCTTGTGCCACGATATTTGTAGTCGACGGTCTTTGAATTTCGACCCTTGGTTTGCAGCCTAAAACATATTTTAGAAGAACAGATAAATTTACACTTACATTTAATAATTATTCCTATTTTATATTATTTAAATTTTGTGTTATTTAAAAAGTGTAGTGATTTGAGGCGGAAAAAAAAATCTGTTCAAGGGGATCTACAATCTCCAATGATAGAAAAAATAAAGTCCCTTTTAATTAGAGTGACTATATGTTCTGGTTTGCCCAGGATAGTACATGGTTTATATCTACGACCCAGCTTCACATAAATGTTAGTATTTGTCTTGGTTTGAATGATAAATTATATGGTCACCCTACTTACAACAGTCATGATGAGGATAACAAATACTGTCTTTTCTTAACATACGTACTGACTTTTGGCTTAGATATCTACATATTTAGACTCAAATCTTAAAAACTGAAGTAATTTTTTAAAAAGGCGTATCGTCTCATGTCTAGTCATTTTATCCCACCTTTACAGCCCCACCTATATTAGGTAAAGCTGTTCCTACTTTATTTTCTAAATGCTATATAATAACAAGAACGCCTCAGTTCATTTACGTGTTCAACAAATGTTAAATACTATCACGACTCAAGGTGAAACTGCTCAATTTCAAATGTGTTTCTTGGTACTACTTTCTAAGCTTTTTTTTTGTTTTCCTCCTCAGCAAATTGCAGCAAGGGAACGGAACAGTTTTCATTTTAAAGACAAAGCAACACAGAAAAAAGAACAGGGATCCAAAGTTTCACGAAAATGAAAGCTTAAGTCATCCCTACAGCTGTCCTATCAATAGTGCTAGATTATAGAATTCCCCAAAATTCTGGGTGCAGCTCAGAGAAACATAACAGATAAAAGGCATCCTTTTTAATTTAGGTTTCACTTAGTTTGTCTGGGGAAAATGCTGATAAACCTCATGAAGCATTTGCCAAGTGTATCCCTGGAACACTAGGAACACTGAATGGTAAGAGTATATGCTAGGCCAGACCCATAACCAGTCAATTACTGTCTGCATAGGTATCAGCAGATAATCTAAGAAAAAATTCCCAAATCCCTGTGGAGGCTGAACACTGATAATCTGATACCAAACATTTTCACTCATGAAACATATTATACTGATGTATCAAGATGGCCCTGTCCAAATACACATTTACCATTACCATTTTTTAAAAACCATGAAATGTGTGTAATAGACCTCCTCTGCCCTTATTCCATCCTTTAACACACAGCCCAATTATAGAAAGGCTTTCACTGCTTGTTTTGTTCATTTCTGTATTATTGGAATTATTAAATAAAGATTACTTCCATAATCAGGAAAAGAAATAAGGATTTTTTAAATATGTAATAATTGGGTTGTCCTCCAAAGAGTAGCAATTCTGTTCTCCAAAAGGCATTTCAAGGCATTACATGTATTGCATATATATTACTGAAAGAAGAATTAGAAATTTAATTTGCTTTCCTATGTAATTTGGAACCAAGAATAAATAACTCCCACTGTAAAACTTATAATAAATCAAATAAGATTAGCAATTAGAATAATGATGTATTCTGGCAATATCAAATCAGGAAATATCATACACTGCTGGTAGGAATCTAATAAAACTGATAAGTTCACTCAGCAATTCCACTCCTAGGAATATACCCAAGGGAAATGTGTGCATATGTTCATAGCGACACTATTCATAAACATCATAAAGTGGATATAATCCAAATGCCCATCAATGGCACAATGGAAAAATAAATTGTGGTGTATTTACACAATTGAATACTACACAGGAATTAAAAAAGCAAACTACTGTTACACATAACAATATAAATTATTCTCACAAACATAATGTTGAACAGAAGAATACATACTGTGTGGCTCCATTCATATAAACTTAAACAAGCAGAGTAATACTATATTATTTCAGGATGCATACTTCGGTGAAAAACTATAAAGAAAGCCAGGAACTGATTATCATAAAGCAAGCATAATGGTTACTTCTCTGAGGAGGAGAGAAGATAGTACTGGGAGGAGTCAGTCATAAGAGGGGCTTTTGGGGTGCTGGCAATGTTCTATTTCTTGACCTCAGGGGTGTCTGCCTTCTGATAAATCACTCAACTATACACTTCTATTTGATATACTTTATTTTAATAAACATTTTAAATTGAGTATTACCTTCACGATTTATAGGACATACTAAATAACTAAGATATTTATGTGAAAAAAAGCAAGGCTCGGAATACAGCCTTGTATTTACATGATCCCATTTTGGTAATGTCTTTTAAATGAGACTTTATATATATATTGTTGTATATGTGATTTTTTTCTCTAAGATATCCAATAATACTGGCTGCTTTTTAAGTGTGGTCAGAGATTGAGAAAAGACGGAAGATTTTTACTTTTTATTCTGATACTCTGTACAGTGATTTTATTTTTTTTTTAACCATTTGCATGTATTGCTTTTTTTATAAAAAAAAGTGACAACTTTTTGGTTAGTAGCCAAGTGCTTAACCACTATGCCAGCAGGGCTCCTCGTATCACAGATTTAGGGACTAGAAAAATGTTCATAAAAACGTAATTGGTTAGACTTCAGATTTTTGTGGTTTCCCCTTTATAATCTGTCTTTGTTTCAATGTTCTAAAAGCAGAAATTTTCTTCGTAAAGAAATGAAAAAATTAAGAGAAGAAAATTAAGGCAGTCTAGAGAGTTCGAATGACTTTACAAAGGTCACAAAATTATTACTGCCACTAGATGTAGCTACCAAAATTGTATTTTTTATCTAAAGGGTGCTCTATAAGGTAATGTGCGTCAAACAGGAAACCTCCTGATCGTTTGTGACAGACAATGGCATTAAATACCAGTAGTAAAACCCCTGCCAAGAAGGGCTGTAGGGAAAAGTTAACTGAGTGTGAAAAGTCTTTTGTAATTACAACAGAAGTACTCCGTTGCCTTATATGAGGTTCCAGATATGGTAAGGGTGAGGGAATTAAGAAGTTCTTGACAGCAAAAAACATAAAAATTACAATTATATAAATTAGGCAGAGGGGTACAGAAGCTCAAGACTTCTAAATCTCTTATTTTCTTAAGAACCAAAGGACTTTCTGGCTAAAGATGGAGAACTGAACATCCATAGTATATAAATTCATACTCTTCCCATACCTCAATGAAATGACAGTAACATGGTTTTTGTTTTTTTTTTTAAAAAAAAAGACTAAATCTACAAGGGCAAGGAGATAAAAGAGAACACCAAAAAGTCTAAAAAATTAGGGAGCTGGAAAGCAGGACTACTGGGAATAGATTATGCCAAAAAATTTTAAATCAACAAGTAACAATAAAAACATATTATTTAGAAGTGAGAAAATATGAAAAGGGTCAGCTAAGAGAGTTAAAAGTGGACATCTTTATGATATGCAGGTATAACTTTTACAAAAATTAAAACTAAAAAAATTATAAGAAAAGAATCTAACGGAGGCTGTTGTTTTCTTCTTTATTTGCATGGAGCCCTGGTGGCATACTGGTTAAGAGATCAGCTTCTAACCAAAAGGTTGGCAGTTTGAATTCACCAGCTGCTCCTTGGAAACCCTACAGGGGCAGTTCTACTCTGTCTATAGGGTCACTATGAGGTCGAATGGACTCAATGGCAGTGTTTGTGTTTTTTTACTTTTATTTAATATTTGCATGTTTGGTATGTTGTGTTCAATGAACATCTTGGAAGACACTGTTAGTTGTCTAAGCAACAATGACTTTACCATTTTCCTTTCTAATAGGCCCTAATTTTCATCACTGGTCAATCGCCATATGTGAGCCTCAGCTCAGGGAGTCAACCAGGGTTGGTAAATTAATCAGGGTAACTCCGTTTCCCTTACCAGGGATTAGTTTAGAAATAAGTTAAGAGACAATCCTGGTTAAGACATGTAAGGGCACATCTACTGAGTGAAAAAGTGTGTGTGTGAGTGAAAGTGTGTGTGTGTGTGTGTGTGTGAGTGAAAGAGTGTGTGTGAGTGAAAGAGAGAGAGAGAGTGTGTGTGTGTTTGTATGGGGGGGATACTTTCTAGAAAGGGTTCCTTCACTATTTTTAAAAGTGGCTTAAGAAAGGTACCCTTCCTTTTCTGTCTTTGGACATTTTTGTTAGAGATTGTGATGTCTGTTGTTGCTGCAGTCATCCTGATACCATAAAGAAAAAAGCCTGAGAACATAAACCAACATACTAGCATAGCAGAGGAGAAATGTAGAAAAACCTGTGTGGTCAAGTTACTGAATTACTCAATCCTAAAATCTTGCTACTTCTAGACTTTTTCAAGTCATTTATCTGTTACTTACAGTCAAATGCACCCTGAGAGAGAAGTACCCTCATAATAAGGAAGGGGGAAAAAAAAAATCCAAGTTCCACCCTAGGTCACTGATTACAACAGCTAAAACAAACTACTACAATTCAAAAATCTTGCTGGTTAATTGATGCATACTACTCGAGAAATGTCAAAGTACAGTGCAATTATTCTAAACATTTAGGGCCAATAATTTTCACTGTTTAAACTAGCCAAACCTCTCTTTAACCAAGGGTAAAGAAATGTACCCTTAGCTCTTATCCTGTTTGTCCCCTTAAGCAAGGCTCTATGCCTTACTTAACTTTTTTAGCTTATGGCCTAGACTTTAATGTTAAAATACTTAAAGGGAATTCTTCCTGAAAGTCTTTAATATCCTCAGCTCTCTGTGAAATAAAATAAATAAAAATGAAGATTCTTCC